TATTTTTTCTTAGTCCTGTTCTTCCAAAGCTGACTAAACAACTTCTATCAGTCTGCTCCTGACTTGAAAGTTACCTCCTTCTAAATTCTATTGCTTGTCTATATGTGTGTATTTGTATATTTTTTATCTATAGCATTAAACTATGCTGGGTAACAACCCCAAATATAAGTGGCTTATCACAATGGTTTTTTTTTTTTCTCATTCACATTACATATTGGTAGTTGCAGGCTGCTTTATACACTTTCTCATTCCAGGACCCAGATTGAAGCAGTACCCCCATCTAGAACATGCTATTCTCAAATTAGAAGGAAAAAGAGCAAGAGAGTTCGAATAAACAAAGGACTCCTATGACTCAAAACAAAAAACCAAACAACCTGATTAAAAAATGGGCAAAGGACTTGAACAGACATTATTCCAATGAAGCACTAGAAATGGCCAACAAGCATACAAAATGATGCTCAACATCAGTAATCATTAGGAAAATGCAAATAAAAGCTATATTTTACTGAATATTCAAATCAAACATCACACTCTTTTAAAAATATTTTTATCATTGAGTAGAAAGAGAGGCACTGTTATTAATTTGATGCACACTCCCCACTCCGTCTTCCAATTCCACTCCAACTATAAATAAATCAAGGAGCCTGGGTTGTGGGCAGTATGTGCGTAGTAGGGTAGGATGAGAGGAAGTTATCATCTGCTAGGTATTATACATCATATTATTTAAATACCCCATTATAGACATAAAAAGGGGTGCAGAGAGCTTGAGTAATTTGCCTAGGGTGTCACAGTGAGGTTCAGGCTTGTGGCCCAGAATGGAGGAGGTGCAAACACTACAACTTGCTCATCAAATCACACAGGAGCATAGATCTGGGAGGGAAAGTGGTACTACCTGCAAACTTCCTAGAGAAGGAAATAACGTGAGGAGTTTGGTTATATGGTATCTTCCCAACTTTTTCTTTTTCTTTTTTTTTATTAAGGTATTACATATGTGTCCTTATCCCACCATAACCCCTCCCCCGACCTCCCCAACTCATGCCCTCACCCCCCTGTCCAACTTTTTCTTATTTATGCCATGGGCCATTTAGATCCCTTGCCGCTCCCTGGAAACTTGGGAGATGATGCCCGTTTTACAAATAGATCCCTCAAGTCCATCCATCGGTCAGATGTTTGTTTGCTTCTTTTCAGTTCTGAGTTGAACATGGTCTAACCACTTTGAGAGGTCAACAAATATAAATCTGGACTCAAATATGCTTCCACTATTACTAGGAGCAGTGAAAACACAAGAGATTCTCTGTCCAAGATTAGGCCACAGTGTTACACCTCTCAGATAAGAGACCAGGGGTCAGGCATAACTTTCGTTTGTATTCAGTGAGCCAAGGTTCATGTAGTCAGGTCCATGGGCCTTCGTTCAGGAACTGATTCCCCCATACCTCCCTTTCCTTTATTATTGATTTTCTTTTCTTTTTTTTAAAATATATTTTATTGATTTTTTACAGAGAGGAAGGGAGAGAGATAGAGAGCTAGAAACATCGATGAGAGAGAGACATCGATCAGCTGCCTCCGGCACATCTCCTACTGGGGATGTGCCCGCAACCCAGGTACATGCCCTTGACCGGAATCGAACCTGGGACCTTTCAGTCCGCAGGCCAACGCTCTATCCACTGAGCCAAACCGGTTTCGGCTTATTGATTTTCATTTCCTGGGAAACACAACATGACTCTAATTAGCAAATGAGGCCACATTCCAAAGCCACAGATTCCATTCTCCTCCCTCGACTCTTCCCTGGACTGTTTGGACCCTCTGTAACATGATGTCTCACGGTCGAAACTGTCCTTTGCTCCTGGCCTTGGCAGGAAGGCATGCCCCAAGCTACAGTCTCCAGCTTTTATTTTCCATCTGCAGGGTGATTCACTGCAAGGAGAGTAACAGCTGAAGATGTGGAGACACACACCTCACAGACAGCTGTGGGAATCAGATTGGATCTGCACTCAAGCATGCTGGAAATAAAAGACCATTGACTTTGGCATTGGGATGAAAACCTCTGCCAAACACATATCAAAGACAGTCTCTCTCTCTCTCTCTCTCTCTCTCTCTCTCTTTCTCTCTCTCTCACACACACACACACACACACACACACACACACACACCTTTCAGAGAGACTGTACAGTTCCCCACATATGGCAAACATATTTTAGGGGAAGCACCATGACTAGAGGCCAGTGGGAGAGAAAGAAAAGGAAAATAATGAGAAAAACCTTCAATAAGCCTAAATTGTTCCAGTCAGACCGCTGAGAAAGAATGCAAAGGATTGGAGATGAAAATTATTGGTAAAATCAGCATTATAACCTAGCTAAATTCTTTTCTACTCCAAATGTTATTAGAACTTACTCTGAAGACAACAGTAGCACCTGGGGAACTAGCCTTTCTGTTTAGCTGGATGCACTTTGCCTAACACAACAGACATACATGAAAAGAGCACATTATATAAAACAAAAATGTTTTCCTCTAATTCACAATTTCAAATATTCTTAATTTTACTTGTAAATAATTGTGTGTGCGGGGGTAGGGGGTAGATAAAGAATACAGGTATAACTAATTTTTTTAAATTTAAATTCTTTATTGTTTGAAGTATTACATGAGTCTCCATTTTCCCCCATTGACCTCTCCCCAGCAGCTCCCATGCCCCAGCACATGCCCTCACCCCCTACTGTCTGTGTCCATTGGTTTTGCTCATTTGCATGCATACAAGTCCTTTGGTGATCTCTTACCCCCTTACTCCCTGCCTTCCCTCATAGGTTGGATGGTCTGTTCGATTATTCTATGTCTCTGGTTCTATTTTTGTTCATCAGGTATAATTAATTTTAACTGGAAGTGGATCCCAACACTTTCACTACAATTGTTTTCTAAATTCCATTTTCTCTGTGACATATTTAACGATCAATTAAATACACTGTGAAATTACCAACATAAAGGAACTAACAAAATCCTTGTTAGAATGTAAACAACTGATCTCTAAGTTATGTTTTATAAGAATTGATTTATCAAATTTTCTAAAAATAAAACCAAAGACTCCAGTTTCTGCTTTACAGAGTTATTGGTGAAAGTTAATCAGATCGCCTGAAGGAACACAAAAAATCTGATAATTGAAAGTGGTGGCATGGAAGAAACACTGGCCTGGTGTTCTTGGGGCCTCATTCTAAGGGCTCTCCTTAAACTGAGTTTAGAGTTTCACCCCGAGGGTGGAAGGGAGGTGCCGATGCATTTTAAGTAGAAAGATGACCATGCGACAGTGTGAGAAATGGACTATCCATTTCTGAGACTGACACAGGTGTAAAAGGGTAATTTAATTGTCCAGGCAAGAAATAATGACGGCCTTGAGGTCAGTCTAGCTCTCCACTGCCCGTGTGCCATCAGCTCCTGAGGCAAAGGAGCTGGTGGAGGCAGAAAAAGGTTCTCTCCCATGAGTGTATTTTCCAGAAGTGGTACCTTGGGGAGAACAAAAGTCCTGGATTTGCCACCTACTAGCTGTATGGCCTCAGGTAGCTAATTAAGAAGATACATTTGTTAAGCATTTTACTAAGTATGAGGAACCCCTCAGAAATGGATTTAAGTGTATTTTCTAATTTATTTACTCTTTTAATACCTTAATGTATTCATCTGTGAAAGAACAGTAATGCCTGACTTATATGCTATTTTGAGGATGAAAAGGGAGAGTATATTCATGAAAAGGCTTCATAAATCTTAAAAAGGTTAGCTGCCTAATAAAGCTTAATTTCAATATTTCTCCTGGATCTAAAAATGCTATGAGTATTTTCTTTCCAATCCCCAACTATTGGACACTCCACAGGTTGATGAAAACAGTTGTTAATTGTTGATTTGTATATTGCAAGACATAAAATATGAACAACAATGATGATGTTTTCACCTTCCAAAACACTGCAAACATGAGGTCAGGTGTTTAAAATAATAGCTGCTAAAGGGAGACTAGCTTATTTTATTATACTTCTGCATGAGAATGGCTCTAAGTAGCAAAAGCCTTCAGTTTCAGGATAAACCGTGAGGAGTAACTTATCATCCTCTCCCACAAATCAATGAAACGTTATGGCCATGCTAAAGGAATGATGTCTAGGCACTCCATGGGCACTCCATGGGCACTCCATGGGCACTCCATGGGCACTCCATGGGCACTAGGCAAGCACAGTTGCTATTCATACTATTAAAATGGTGATGAGCTACCATGTGGGATGGTAGTGTATAGCCACCAAACATATCATTCCTTGGCTGGGGCTTTGCCATAAGGTTAAAGCAGATATGTAATGAGGCCATGGTCCATTTAACATTTTCATATTTTTTTTCGCTAAGGAATCACTTAAGGACCCTGTCTCTAGGCCAGGCTATCTGCCTGTCCAAGAGTAAATGGATTCATCCACAGTGAAGGTATGAGTCAATATTTTGGCTCCATTCTGAAGCCCTTCTTGGCTTGGACTCAAGTCATTGGACACTGCCTTTCAATTTCCCAGCTACTTCTCTCAAATCTTTTCAAAAGCTATTACACAAAGAATGAACAATGGGACTTATCCAATAGGCCTTCTAAATGCAATGCCCAATAAAGCAACATTGGAGTTACGTAAGCCACTGGTCGCTGAATTCTATCCTTGATCCTCAGGAGATGAGGCAATAGTATGCAGTCATCAGTTTGAATGCAACCCAGTACAGAAAACAATTCCAGGGTCAGAAGTACTAATAAGATGCAACTTTTGGTTTATGAAGCACTTTACACTCACCATGTGTAGAAGGGGAAAGTTGAAAAAATACTACTGCATTATAGTGCTACTTAATGATATGAACACAAGAAAAACATTTAAATGAAACAATCACATTGCATGAAATCACCCCTGACCAATTTTCTAAAAACTGGAGCTAGGTAAACCCATTCAAAAATTTCCTTAAAGAATCTGAAAATAAAAGTGTTCTGGGTTCCCGTCTGAGAAGCTGACCTGAGATTGCTGGAAAAGGATGCTCTTCTCTGGGTTTATGCCACAGGCCAGGAGAGCCGCAGTCATGTCCAAGATGCTCTGGCGCAGGACCGCTGGGTCTTGGGGGACAGTGATGGAGTGCAGGTCAACGATGCTGTACAGCACGGAGCCGGGCTCGTTCTGCAAGCTCACCCAGCTCTCAATGGCCCCCAGGTAATTGCCCAGGTGGGGGGTTCCTGTGGGCTGAATGCCAGAGAATACTCGCCTCACAGCATCTTTCTGGAACAGAGGAAAACAGACATATTTGCCTCTGGGGTAGAATCCACGAATCCTATGTCCAGGTTACCACAGCTACAATGGCTAGGCTTATTTTTTTAAACTGCAACCTGACAGTCATCATTCTTATGCGTTTGCTTTGTGCCTACTCTGTGCAAAGCACAGCGTTAGGTGCTATTAAGGACAGAAAATTATATTTGAAATGGGGGGTTTGCCCAGCAGGCGTATCTCAGTGGTGGAGCATCGAACTATGAATCAGGAGGTCATGGTTCGATTCCCGGTCAGGGCACATGTCCGGGTTTCAGCCTTGATCCCCAGTGTGGGGCGTGCCAGAGGCAGCTGATCAATGATTCTCTCTCATCACTGATGTTTTCATTTCTTTCTCCCTCTCCCTTGCTCTCTGAAATCAATAAAAATATATTTAAAAAAATAAATAAAACATGGGGTTTTTTGGACTCAAAAACTTACAAAGATGCATGCGAAAAGGGTTGCATTCCCCAAGAGAATGCAATCTAATTGGAGAGAGAGGATATGTTCATGAAAAGATACTAGTAAGAGTACAATGTGACCACATGACCTTGATCAGTTTGGAAAGATAAATAGTGGGGTACAGGCAGGAGTTCACAGAAAGCAAAGGTGACTGTGGATCCAGTGAGAAAGACTTCAGACACAGAATCAAATTTCATTGGAAAGTAAAGGACTTCATGGGTTTTTCATGTGATTTCATTCATTTTTGAAGTAAAGGCAATGAAGGCCATAGATTAGGGGTAAAGGCTACTATTTACTTAATTCCGTTTTCTCCAACAATAATTGCTGATGTAATATCAGCAATATTATATAATTAAATATATATTAAGTGTAGTTAATTATATAATTAATATAATTAAGTGTGCAGGACCTTGGGTTAGAAATTTGGAAACCGACACTCTATTACTAGTATTACCTCTTGATAAAGTTACTTAACTTTTTTTGTGCTTCAGCTTCTTTTTACTTTGGTAAATCATACTTGGTTTTTTATTTCTTCAAAAGAAGTTACCCATTGTTGGCCATTTTACACTTATGACTCAAGATGATTTTAGAATCATTTTGTCAAATTCCAAGAGGAAAGAAAAATTGTTGGGGTTTTTGATCAAATTACATTGAGTCATAGATTGCTTTTGG